AAAAGTATCTGCATACCAGTTTTCGAATACTTTATGATGACGCAACTCTGCACATGATATACAGGGTGTCCCGTGAGGATTTACCCATTGCAATATCTCCCGAAATAATGCTGATATCGAAATTCTGGTCTTGTGATAAGACTCACAGGGATAAGAACTACAATTATATCATATTTTAATATTTTTTTATTTAATTATTTTCATTATAGTCATTTTGTAGAGTTTATTTTTCTGAAAATATTGACGTTTCAAAATTTTATTTTCATTAATTTCCTGATTTTTAATATTTTTTTTAGTTTTGAGAAAAATTGCGAATTATTTAACACTGTAATGTTATCAAACATAATATGACCCGCCGCGCCGCGCGCATTCCCATAAGGTCGGCCGAATACCTTCCATGCTCCTAATAGTAGTTATAAATWACAATCATATTTTATTTCTTCAAAACTAGAAAAAATATTAAAAATCAGGAAATTTATGAAAATAAAATTTTGAAACGTCAATATTTTCAGGAAAATAAACCCTACAAAATGGCCATCTTTAATATTTTTGGAAATAATTAAATAAAAAATATATTTTTACATTTTTTACAAAAATATTAAAATAAATTAAAAACTGAAATAATATTGTAGTTCTTATCCCTCTGAATCTTATTATAAAACCAGAATTTTAATATCTCCATTGTTTCGTGAGATATCACAATGGGTAAATCCTCACGGGACACCCTGCACATTGATTATAAATACTAATTATAGAACATTTTTACCGTTAACTGCGTACCTTTTAAAGTGATTATACCCCCTGTGCCGAGCGTTATCCGTAAGTATTTATTACAAAACTCTTCTGATGTTAGTAAAACGGGACAAATAGTAGCTATAAGCACACCCAATGCTACACCAGTTCCGTTGCACGTGGACGCATGACCCACATTGTTCCTGGGAAAATAAGTTTTAAGTAATTGACCAATGTATGTTATCAGCCTTCAGTCATTACTTTGAATTTTGGTTCACGCAAAGTCACAACTTACTTCTTAAGCAATGTCAGTGCCCATCCATCGACGACTATATCTTGTGTTGCGGCCAAGAAGCTAATGATACAAAACGTAATCACCAGCGCCTTAAGATTAGGTTTTTCGGATTCGGGCAACCACTCATCGATGTTAATGGCCGTATAGAGTAAAACCACCCCTGTCCAATGCAAAGATTATGTCGGTACAGTGAAAATTATTCAAAGAAAAATAAAGTCACGAATAGAAAATAAAGAATAAAAAGATAAAATATTATTATATAATACATTGAAATGCGTTATGGTAATTAAAATTGAAATTACAATGAATCTGAATTCTTATATTTTTTTCATAAACTGCTTGTACAAAAATTACTGTTTATAAATAATTTTGATGCTAGAATAATTGTTTACGTTTTTGAGTATTTGTCGATACCATAAATATTTGAAACTATATTTTCAATAAACAATAATTATATATTTCTTTTAATAACATAATATCAAATGTATTCCACGTCTTAATTGTATTTTATCAAACGTTTATATGTAGGTACGTGTGTATAGTTTTAATGCATATTCATGAATTTAGACCGGAAGAATCTACTTGTAGAAACAATTCCCAGTTGAAACATTTCATAATTATATCTTTAATGCATAGAGTGTATTGGCCTATAATTTGTATGATTGAAAGACCTATGGGATTTATTAGGTAGTAGAATATTTTAAATTATAATGATATTTTGTGGATACGTATGATAAAAATTTAAAACCAAATAATCGGAATATAATCATAGCTATATATAAATATATATAAGTAAATGATATTCAATACTATGTCGATGAAATTTATTGTCAAATAAATCCGTAATATATACAAAATTGAGATGGTTAAAGAAAAAGCAGTAAAAGAGTATCCTATAAAATACATTAAAACATATTAATTTATTATTATTTCAACTGCATGCTTAGATTTGTTAGACCATAATATTTTTATGATTTTAATATCTTAAGTTTTAAATAAAAAATAATACTTTTGTGTACCCATTGAGTATTGAATGAATATGAGCCAAGATTTTCGTCTGCCTATCCATTGCACGTACAGTGAATCTACTATTGGGGCCCATACAATTTTTATACTATATGGCCACGCAACTAAACTGAAAAAAGCCTAAAAATRATTWAAAATAGTACATTTATTACTACCTACACTTATACTGCAAGTAAGTAGTTTTTTCACAATTTAAATACACAAATATTATGATGATAGATAATATTATAATGAAACACATAGATCTATATATAGTATATTAATGAGTTTTAATTAAYCACATAAAATATTAAATTCTCAAACTAAAATTTACCTGTTCTTTATAGGACACATTTTTTTTACTTTGAAAAATTATTGGTAAAGCTATGGCTAAACCCAAAGGTAATCCTTGTATTGTGTATAATAATATCAATAAAAAGAAGTTCAACCAATCACCCTTCAAATTTGATTTAGCCGGCAATGACTGGGGTGAAACTTCAAATATTTCTGATTCTTCTTCTTCATTTTGTGATTTTTCCATGTTTACACTACAAACTTGCTGTTTCAGAAATGGTGTGTGTATGGAAGTTTTAAAACGAGGTATCGCACTGAAGAGTGACGATAGACTAAAAACTAATGAAAACATGAGTTTAAATTTTTTATCGATGTTCATAACTTACTACAATTTATAGAGAATATTGCAATCGTATATTTTATACAAGAATTTTAAATTAGATATATCGATTTATTCTTAAAATGTTTAAATTAAACTTGGGTGGGAAGTATGAATACTTATATTTCAAAGTTTGATATTATTAAGAAGTAAATTATTGTAATGGGTTCTATGATCATATAATTTATACTATACAAATCTGTATAATATATTAATATACAGTATTATATAGTACAAGTTTTTATTAATTGATGATTAAATAATTGAAAATTTTTAATACTTACATTAAGAATACTGCATACATATTATGATGAATTAGTTGTGATTATAATATTGTCCATTACTTATAATGGTATGAATATTTAATGTAGCTAGTGGGATATGTTGTGAAGATAGTAGTTGTTGTGATATCAAAGAGCGATAATAATGATTGCAATGATTGATTGGTGTGTATCGAAAACCGATTTCTGCAATTAAAATATCAATAGACAGTGATTTTTTATAAAATATATACAAAGCTAATGGCCTCAGATATCGAAGTAGAAATTATTAATAATTTCAAGATCAATAAAAAACAAATGAAAAAAATAATATTATTAAACTTTTTTTTGCATAATTTATATTACATATTATAATTATTAGTTATTAGTATTATTACACTTAGTACCTATTAATGGTTTTTGTAAATGACTATTATTTGACAGCTTATTAAAATAAATGAATGAAGTGACTACCAATTATAAGTAATAACTAATAATTACAGGCTTGACATAAATGGGGCTAAGCAATGTGAAAACAGTACGGCCCCCATGYAGTGATTTTCGCCAAGAAAAAAAAGGCTTGATATAAATAAATATTTTCGTCTAGAGGTAAAGAAATATTTTCATATACTGGTAAATAAACATAAGCAACAATCGTGTATGACGTAAAGAATTAAATATTAGTTCTCCGAGATACCTATGATAACGCAGGTCAATATTTCGTTTGACCATGAAATTTAATGTGTATAAAATACGCAAAACATTGCTTGTAGAATATGATAATTTAAAATGTTTGAACGGTAGTTATACTTCAAACGTTTAGTCATAAAATGTTATGTCAAATACTAACATTTAAACAGTAATATATGTTAATACATATTAGTAAATACATTAGTAACTACTAACTATTCACACATTTATGTTTTATTGCAATTCTTATGATTTCTAAGGAGATTTGAATTATTATTGATTTTACTCGTATTACTATGAACCATATTTTTGTGGGACGTCATTGTACACACAAGTACAGGTACAGTTGATTTCCCAAATAATCTTGTAAATTCGCTCTTCTATTTTCTTATTGCATGAAAAGTGGAACTTAATGTGAACTTAAACTACCTACATTACGGAATGTTAAGATAACAATATATTTCTAGAAAATTCATGTTTTAACATCAAAATATAATATAATGTATGT